ATATTATTAAATTAAAATAAATATTCTACTAATACATCAAAATCAGCCCTCATAGGCATGTTTACCGATATAATGATTTGGGCTTAAATCTAAATAATAATGCCTGTGAATTGAATAAATAAACACCAGTAGATAAATAAATAAACAATAGCTATTATTATTAGTATCTGGTACCTGTGACTGCCCATCCCTGATCTGTCTCACATTATCTGTTCATAGACTGTTATCTTTCCTCTTATAGGATGCAGAAAGAGAACCGGGAATTGTGGGAATTATGCAATTACCCTAATGGTGATGAAGAGGGAGGGGCCCTGCACTAAGGTAGGACAATAATGGCTTCCCAACAATTAGAGCTTTTCATTCTAAAACAGCAGGACAGTCTGAGAGTTCATTGCCACCATCATTCTCCAAAAACCCCATTAAGGAACACAGCAGATCTAGCGACTATTTCATAGAGGCCTTCAAACCACCCAAAGAGAAGCTGTTAGGCAGGGAGCTCTCGAAAGGTGCCAAAGGTGTAAAGCTGACAGAAAGATCCCATCTGGGACATGAAGAGGAATGAAGCCTTCAGCACACTGTCAAAAGGGGCAGCTGGCCTGTGACCTTCTGCTCACCGGTACAGATTAGGTCTTTGTGTTGGTATCAGTTGGGGTTGCACTTGTTTGTAAACCACAGACACTCCAGGCCTCGTGTTCACAATCAAGACTCAGTATTATATTTATTATATTGTGGGTTAATCATGCATTTAACTCTAAAGTTGAATTTAATTGTATTTCATACAAATGTTGTGAATTTCTAAAAAATCCTATTGATAGTCTAGGAAAATTTGATATTTAGTTACAACTGCTCAGTTAATAGGAGATCTCTGGTGTGAATATAACAACAGGTGGCATGACACAGACCCCTGACAGAATCATAAATCTGTGCCACAAAGTCTATGTCAACATTAAAGAAAGTGCTGATAGACATTTTTAAGGCTTTCAGTCAGAATTATAAATAGCCCGGCACTCCTGACTATCTGTGGGAAACATCCCTGTCTGTATGTCTCTATCCTTAAATGCAAGACTGCACACTGGTTACTACCAGTCCACTCTTCCGCCACACTTTCAGGTTCTCCAGGTTTGGGTCCAGAGTATTACAAATCAGATATGGACAGTGGGTCATTATAGACCACGACTGGCAGTGTTGCACATTCTCCTGCAAGTGCTACACTATGTGATAACCCTGTTAAAGTCTCACTACATCTACTTTGAGGCAGCTCTCAGTCAGTGTATCTTACTTATGGATGTAAATGTGATTGGATGTGACTTTATCAGGCATAAAGCAATGAATTCCACCAGAGCTGGACCATTTCCTGGACCCGTTATTCCTGTTCAAAACACCTGCCAAACCCAAATAGACACTGAGCCTGGGAACTGCATGTTAAGCACAGCCCCCATTGACTACAGATAGTACTGATCCATTTGACCACAAACATTGTGGGAACAAAACAGTATACCTCTCTGGCCCCCAGAACTCAGCCATGAGCCACTGTCTGACAGTGCACAAAAAGTAGAAACTCTTACAGGCCCTTACAGAACAGGAACAAATGAACTAACCATTCATTAGACATATAGAAGATCTACGGGCCTTTCTGAAACCATCATAAATGATCAAACCATTAGATACAAAATGATGTAATTTTCTAGGTGCCGGCCATGTGTGCCTGACCTTGTCATATATCTTCTTTAATTAAGCACCAATAACAATGAGATTCTCTTGACACCCATGGCCTACAAACCTTATTGGTTAATCAGACCATTAGGTCATTAGTCCGTCATATTCCATTCCTCCCCTGGAAACCAATTGAAAACCATTTGCCCAAGAGACGAAAAGGACAAGACACACAAATGAAGTCCTCTGTGGGTCTGACTGGGAGGATGGAGTGAGCTAACCTTGGTGGACCTCGGGGAGACCCTGTAATGTAATGACCTCCCTTATGACATGACTGTGGCTTTGAGCGTCACTGAATGACCCTGAGGAGAAGCTACTGGGACATCTTCTCACAGATCAGGACGTGGCAGATGGAGTGGAGGCGAAGGCCTCGATGATTTGGCTGAAATCACTACTGTATGAATTATTTACTTTTCTCGTTGTCTCATTTTCCCAGAGACTCTAAGTATAATCCAGAATTTACATCTACACGGTTCAAAAACTCCCCATAAGACCTGGTTGTAGGTTTGTTTGCTGTTAGAAACCGGCTTCGGTCGCCGTGTTGCCTCTCGGGTGACACCCTCCATGAAATTCTTCAGCAGAAAGCAGAACATTATGGAAATGGAAGGAAGGACCAGCAGCTCCATGCAATGGTACTAACTGAAATGCGAAGGGAATCAATAAAAGTAGAGAAACCACAATTTCTTTGCATGTGAGGGACCCAGCTGTGATGAGGCAGTGCAGATAAATCTGAAGGCCTAATCACAGGTGTGTGCAACAGGCCATCAGAGTCAGGTGAGGAGTTTAGTCATGTGATGCAGCCCGTCTCCTTCACAAGTGAGGCAGAGATACTGCCCTTGAAACACGGAAGGAAGAATAACGGGCACAATATCTCTCAAATGAAAAGACAGCCAACAGACACCTGAGAGTGTTTCAGATAACTGTCTACCCCAGACTGCTGGCCTTCATTCAGAACCACTGCAAATAGCACGGTGAGGAAAACTATATTAGGTTAACACAGCCAGGTACAGAGTTATACAGAAGGAATCTATGTGCACATGCACTGAAGGATGTGTAGATGAAACATGTTTTCATTGGGTGAGACTGGATAACAGGTAATGAAGAAGCATTTTCAGTTCAGTAATAATGAGATGGAAAACAAGCTTTAGACCAGATGGAGTTAAGTAGAAGGTAACCAGGGAAAAATCTGCCTCTCCAAAGTGGAAGGCTTTCATTGATTTAATTATATTGATCAATAACATCAATTTAGAACTACGAGAACAGAATCCTCACATAACTATTAATGTGATCAGATTGAGCTCCTAATTATAATTTTTTTTGAACAACAATGCTCTCAGTTTGAGAACCAGGACTAAGCACAGGAAGTCCTAAGAGCCTGCAAATGATCCTGATGTAGTAGCTGCAATTTCATCAGTCAGTAAATGAAGAGAGAATGAAAGTAGACCTTCACAGGAAGTACACATGAGGTCAGAAAGGCTGAGGAAAGTGAATGGCTTTAAAAAATTTGATACCAGCTCGAAGGCGTCTTGTGAACAATTAAAACTTTACAGTGTTACTTCTCACATACCTCAAGACCTCATTCTGGACCTTACTCAATTTTAGGCCATAAATCAAGGGATTGAGAAGAGGAGGTACTATGAGAAACTCTAATGCGAGGAAGTGGCGTAAGCCCTGTGAAATATCTCTGGATCCATATCGACTGTACATCATATTGAACAGCAAGGCCACTGTCACGTTAATTAACGACAGTAAATGTGGAGTACATGTCTGCATAATTTTTTTTCGATTCTCTGAGGATTTCAAACTGATTTTGACCAGTTTTACATAGGAAAACATAATTAAAAGTGAATTTCCCGCATATGTGAGTATTACAATATAGGAAAGAACATTATACAGTGTAGTTGGGAAACAAGACATTTTAACAATAGCCCAGCTCTCGCAGTAAAGTTTCTCAATGTGTGACCCGCAGAGAGTTAGTCCAGAGCTCACAAAAACCAAAACAGACATGCAAATAATGGGGGCTATCCATGACAACACAATAAACTTCAAAATCTTCCCCCCCGTCATGACTGTGTGATACTCCAACGGCCTGCATATGGCCACAGACCTGTCATAAGACATCACTGTTAACGTGGAAAAGTCACACAGGACACCAGAGTAAATCACAAAAATCTGAACGAAGCATCCTGGCCGTGAGATTTCTTGGACGTCAGAGAGCAGATCATACAGGAACTTGGGGTAGAACCCCGACGTCCCATACAGTCCGTTGACACAGAGGTTACAGAGAAACACGTACATGGGCTCGTGGAGCGGCTTCCTCAGGGCGACTGTGACAATTATTATCAGGTTTACAGCGATGATGACAAGGTAGTAAAGAAACGTTATGCAGAAGAAAACGTATCTGCTTTCCATGCTGGCGTTGATCCCAGACAGAGTAAACACTGTAGAGTTGGGCATGACCTCCAGTGCCAATTGTGTGTCTGCAATAGGAAAAAGACACAGGTGTGGTTTAGTTAATGCAGGGTTTTACATTTGATGTGTCTTGCTTTCAACAAATGAAAATGTCCACATGCATTTAATCCAAGCTGTTGCTCCATGCCAATTGGCATGAACTTTGTACAAACTGGAAGATGACAAATACCTTCCTTGCTTGCAGTGCCAGAAATATCACTGCACATTCTATTTAAACACAGAAACATCTATATGCAATTTTCCAAATGTGTTATATCCCAAAGTACACACAAAGATCAGAAAAATTGTTAATTTAGCTCTAAACCTTTTGAAAGTTTTTTTTGGTTTCACCTTTCTCGTAAAATTTTTTAAAGGTCCAACATCAAGATCCTACCATAGATTTACAGCCACCCCTGCAAATTATATCAAATTCACGTGAGTTTTTCTCTCCCTTTACTGCTCTGTTTGTATATTTAAAAACTTTTTTTTTATTATTATATTAAATTAGATTCATTCATTCATAAATCCCAGGCTTCTGTTGCAGTACGAAACACTGGCATCATGAAGCGCTGTTGACCTTGAGGTGGTTAATCGCAGAGGACTGTCAGCAAAAGGCTGCAGTCTCTTATTCACAAGTGCCAGGATGTGTCTGTGGGGGAAAAAAGCAAACTGGAGGACAGGAAAACTGGTAATCCGAAGGAAACAGTGGGAATAAGATAACAGTGTGGTCCATTCTTTCCTTAATATAAGGGCAAGTAAAAAATAAATAAATAAATATAATAATAATTACCTGGTGTCTGTCACTGCGTATCCCTGGTCTCTGTCACACGTAGCTTTTTTTGTCTCTTTTATAGGAACAAAGGCGGTGCTGAACCTGGGGTTTATGGGAATTATCCAATTAGACTAATGAACACGATCCTGCGTGGGGTTACCATGGTATAGACATATTTACTTCTTTAGCAACATGCCTTTGCATTTTCTGGCTCCATTGCCAATTCATGATTCATATACAGTTACATAATACTAGAGATTGAACAAGTAATTAATAGACACAATGTTACACATATATAAACACACACATCCCATGCTTTTTATGAACACTGGGTCTGAAACCCACTTATCCTGATCGAGATCAAGAAAAGGCCTGGAATCCATCCTAGGAGGCTTAGGGCTTAAGGCTGATTCTTTCTTCTGCGTAGGATCCACGCCGTTGGTAGCCACATAGCCGCGTACCATAGCCTGATGCCTGTAGTTACATTTCAGGGCAGGTACGCATCAGGCTACGGTGTAGAGCATGTGACTACGTGGCTTCCGATGTGGAGATTCTATGCAGAGATATAATTCAGCTTTCAGGTCTATCCAATGCTGGGCTTCAGCCTTGATCGGGTGCCAGTCCATCAGTGAACACGCACATGCGCAGGCTCAAACCCCACAGGCGGTTTAGGCACCATCTACAGTAGCTTCACTGCATCTCTTTGCAGTGCAGGAGGTGTCAGGCTACAGTGCTGCCCCTCCAGTGTGCTGAAAATACACCTAATGCAGGTCCATACATTTCAATGAGATAAATTTAACCACAGTGGCCAGCAGGGGGCCTCCAACACAGCTGTTGCTTTATTCCCCCAAATAATGATGGTGATGAGTGTTTGACCAAATAAATTTTATTTTATGATAGTTAATTGTACTGACAAAATGCCAACCAGCTGTATATTGCACTGTCCTGACTGCGCCCAATGTCTTGTCTTATTTGCACTATGTGTACACTGAGCATCATCATTTCGTTTCTCGGTATACTGGTATATGTTAAGATAACAATAAAGTTCACTTTGACTTTGATGTTGACTTCAGTAGTCAGCTATTGGCCCTAGAGGGACATCAAACTGCAAAATTAACTGTTCTATATAACAGAGTTAAACACTGGTGTTCCACTTCGTCAGGACTCACACCTGCAGGCCATTTTGATTATCAGTCATAGCACATTCTAACTCCATATGTTGCCTCATACAAAAAAATGTCACTGATTCTTACTCGTCTGGTAAACTTCATTTTTGGCTTTGAAAGCGTGTCTTCCATACTGGTATTGAGTGACATGGCCTTCAGCTTAGCAATGTTCTGTTGGGAAACCTTGGGTCCTGGTGTTCTTGTGGATGTTACTTTGGCAGGTACCACCTACCTAAACATTGTGGCAGACTAACTCTGCACCTTCATGGTAACGGTGTTCCCCGATGGCAGTGGCCTCTTACATCTGGATAATGTGCCTTGCCACACTGCAAAAAATGTTCAGGAATGATTTGAGGAACATAAAGAGTTCAAGGTGTTGACTTGACCTCCAAATTCCATAGATCTCAATCCAACTGAGTATCTTTGGGATGTACTGCAGAAACAAGTCTGATCCATGGAGGCACTACCTCGTAACTTATAGGACTTAAAGGATCTGCTTCTAATATCTTGGTGCCAGATACCACAGGACACCTTCAGATGTCTTATGGAATCCAGGCCTCAGTGGGTTGGTGCTCTTTTAGTGGCACAAGGGGGACCAACACAATATTAGGCAGGTGGCTTTAATATTATGGCTGTTTGGCGTATGTATTTCATCTCATTGTTGATTATAACCAGTTTTTATTTGCCCTTTTTCCAACCCCTTATCCTGAGCAGGCTCACAAGAGGCCTGGAGCCCATCCCAGGCTATATAGGGTGCATGACAGGGGTACACCCTGGATGGAATGCCAGTCCCGTCCTACAGCAGATAGCTACACAAAAGGGCAGTTCAGATTCACCAATTAGTACAGGCTAGACTTTAGCACTGAGTCACTTTAGTCATTAGTCATTCCTTATGAAGCCACACCTCTTCTCAGGTAAATACCAGGAACAGATGTGGCTCATCAGGAGCCAAGTAGGATAGAAAACCTACTGGATTGTAGCTCTCCCGGACCGGAGTTGAAGACCCCTGGTCTAGTGTATCAATTCTTCACAACATATGCAGAGGAAATAAACACAATATACATTTAAACATTACGTAATTTTTTGGTTTCAGCCTGATCAACGAGGCCTTGACTTCCACTCCATCTGCCACATCCTGACCTGTGAGAAAGTGGTCTAGCAGCTTCTCCTCAGGGTCACTGACGATCAAAGCCACAGTCATGTCAGAAGGGAGGTCATTACATTACAGGGTCTCCCCGAGGTCCACCAAGGTTAAGCTCACTCCATCCTCCCGGCCAGACCCACAGAGGACTTCATTTGTGTGTTGTGTCCTTTTGGTCTCCTGGGTAAATGGTTTTAAATTGGTTTCCTGGGGATGGAAGTAATATGATGGACTAATGACCTAATGGCTAATGGCTAATGGTCTGATAAACATGTTTATGAACTTGAAGCTCTCACATCACCCATAGGGTTTGTAGGCCATGGGTATCAAGAGAATCTCATTGTTATTGGTGCTTAATTAAAGAAGATACATGACAAGGTCAGGCACACATGGCCGGCACCTGAAAAATTGCATCATTTTGTGTCTAATGGTTTGTTCATTTATGATGGTTTCACAAAGGCCTTTAGTTCTTGTTCATGACTAATGAATGGTTTGAATGGTTTGCTGCATAAAGACCTGTAGGTCTTGTACATGTGTATTGAGGCCTTGTGCAGTATGATACAATTAGTAACAGTCAAAAACATGAAGAACACACTGTCTGTCATTTACAAATTAATAAAATTACACACACCTACAGTGTATGGGTGGTACTTTAAGGTCTGAGGCTGCATCTCATGTCTTCTGTTAAGAGCTAAGCAGAAGTCAAACTGGAGATTATTTGAGCAGAGTTAGTGAAGCTGCACTTTGCATACAGAGCTGAGGGCTCTGACGGTCAGCATTTTCCTTTGTCCGTTTGTATGCTGAGATCAGGGTGGTACCGCATTGCAGTAGGTAGTCTTGCAGTTCTAAGCCTCCCAGACTGGTGGTTGGAATCCTCACCCCACTCTCTGGCTGTGGTGTTTGCATGTCCCCTTTTTGTTTGCACGAGTATCCTCATACACTATAGAAACTGCATTGTTGACCCACTGTGAGTGTGTGTGCCCTGTGATGCACCAGGCATTTGTCCAGGCTGTCCCCAGTCTGATGCCCTGTGCTTCCTTGGGATAGGCTCTGGGTTTTCTCATGACCATGCACTGGATAGGTAGACAGAAGATAGACGTATTCATGATAATTGTTGTGCGTCCAATTAGTGTACATCATCCTTGTCCTTTGGGATAAGTTTCATGCCCTGACCATGATAAGTGGTTAGACTATGGATGCATGGCTAGACGGATGGATGCCCACAAAGTGACAATCCTCTGGTCATGGGTGATTTCAATGTGATCACGGCACTTACAGGGCTGGCTATGAGGATTGTGTCGGTCCCCATGGGTCTTGCGACTTTGATGAAAGTGGCCTTAACTTTGCAGTCATGGGCTGCGGATCACTGGATCCTGGTTCCTGATCATTTCTGAGTTAAAGGAGGCTCTGATTGGGGCCCTTGAGAGACTAAGTGAGGAGTCTAAGTGACTGGGATTGTGAATGGACCAGACAAAAACCATGATCCGGGCCTTTAATGACCTCTTGGGCATAGCCATCAGCAGTGTGTCTGTCTGCAAGGAGAGAATGTCAACCTCATCAAGAGGTTCACTTACCTTGGCAGCAACATTCACAAAGTCAGTAGACGGAGCATGGGGGGGTCATGAGGTCGCTGGAAAGGGGTGTCTGGTGCTCCCCATATCTTTGCAGGAGGATGAAGGTCCAAGTCTTTAGTGTCCTGGTGGGCTGTGAGTGGCTCAGCAGGTTAAGTCTCTGTGCTTATGAGCTGAAGGTTGTTGGTTCGAGCCCTGGCCCCTCTGGAATGGCTATATATCTGTCAGCCCTTGAGCAAGGCCTTTAACCCCCCACCTCTGGGTGGGTGCTGTGTGTTGGCTAACCCTGTGCTCAGGCTATGGTGACGAAATGCATTGCTGTACTTGTGCAAATTAAAAGTGTTTATTAAGGTGCTCCAGGATCCTAAGTTTGTGCATGTTCTGGAGCAGAAATTAAGCACATTTCTCTTCACCCCATAACATTCTGCTCTCCATAGCTACAGTAGCATCAGCTACCAGCCCCAGTGCTGGGGATTAAAGGCCTTGCTCAGGGACCCACAGACATGTAACCATTTCACTAGGGCCGAGGGTCAAACCAGCAACCTGCTGCTCATAAGCAAAGGGACTTAACCTGCTGCACCACTCACACCCCACATATGTTGAGGCTGGATCTTGGAGCAGAACTAATCAGCAGTCAGTCTGGAAAACATGACTGTGGGCCACATTTAACAAACAAACTGTATTTGCACAAGTACAGGTAAATTGGAATGTTTCTCTTCACTGATACCTCTTGCTCTTCATGCAACAATTCCAGCAGGGCTGGAGTTCAAACCAGTGACCTACTGCTTGCAAGCACAGACACGTAGTCCACTGAGCTGGTCATGGCACACATATACTAACAAATAAACATGCTTTATTGGCACAAGTACATTAGAAGGCTTCCCTTTGCTGGCCACATCTTACACTCATATCTTGAGGGGGTAGGGGGTGTCACTGCACAGGCAGTGCCTTCTGCTGAGGGTAGGGCTTGAACCAGCAGTCTTCTGATTATAGGCCCAGAGACTCAGCTCACCAAACCACTCATTACCCCCATTTGAGCCTGATCTGTATTTAACTTTTGATGGTGCAAATACAAAAACTCTGGTGCAAATACAGGTCAGATTTGGTAACATTCAATGTATATCTGGCCTGTATATGGCCCTCATCTGTTTCAAATCCAGAGAGCGGATTCAGACCAGTATTGATCCATTGTGCAAAAAGACACTGGGCCAGATCCAGTTTACGGATCTGTGGCGACTTCCGAACAATATTTCACCTGGATCCGGTTCAGACTCATCTGGGTGCATATAGTTTTGTGGAATTAAATTAAACAAGGGGTGAACTCAGCTTTGCGAGAAACTGGATTGACTGACATGACAGCATTTATATAATACTTACATATCTCATTCTTAAATGTTAAAAACAACATGTGCAGTAAGACTAGTGCCAATACCACCTGAATAAGATTGATAAATCAGCTTCATAAATTATCTTCAACTTCAGACTGTTCATAATGTGCAATTTTGTAGTACGATAATGATATCTAAGGGTGACATCACCATCTTACTAAGATCATGTGACAAGGTTGTCATCAAGACTTACAAAATGAGGCATTCAGAGCGGAGCTCGCACAACAAGCCTGGTCTGACTCAGAAGCAGACGACCTGGCAATATTACTCTTTCCAAAGCAGGTACTAGTCTTGTACTATATGTTTACTTCTTAGAAAATCCTTTGCAAAAATGTCTCTCAGTGGTTAAACAACCAAATCATATATGCTAAGCAGAATTGCATGTATAATATTTTACAGGAATTGAATATGTATTACTGTGTTACATTGATGATTTAATTTGTTCAACAGAATAATAACAAAGACTTTCTTTCCATTACAGAGCTCCTAACAAAACCAGAAAGCCATGGACAATATGTCAGAGGTGACGTCCTTCATTCTAACAGGCTACTTCGAAATGGAGGATCTGAAGTACCTGTATTTCACAGTCTTCTTCCTATTGTACATCATGACGGTTTTTGCGAATGTCCTTCTCATCTGTGTGATCTGTGCTGAGAGGAGTCTGCACGACCCCATGTACATTTTTTTGTGCGCCCTGGCAGTGAATGGGATGTACGGCAGCACGTCTTTAGTGCCCTCCATTCTGGGACAGCTGATGTCCCCCACGCACATCATGTCTCTGGGCTGCTGCCTGGCCCAAATTTACTCTTTACACACATACGTCATCGCAGAGTTTTCAGTGTTGGCAGTGATGAGCTATGACAGATACATTGCGATCTGTTACCCCTTACATTACCACATCATCATGTCTCCCCGCAAGGTGTGTGTACTGGTTGTCCTCTCCTGGATTTACCCCTTCGTCGCTTTTGGCATCTACTTCATATTCACCACAAAGCTCACCTTCTGCAGAAACATCATACCTAAAGTTCACTGCATGAACTTTGAGTTAGTCAGACTGTCTTGTTTTAGCACTTACGTTCACAGCATCGTCGGCCTCGTGGCTACAGTTTTCTACCTCGTTCCCCAGATCCTGATGATGCTCTTTTCATATATGCACATATTCAGGATTTGCCTGAAAGCTTCCAAAGAATCCCGAGCCAAAGCTGCCCAAACATGCACGCCTCACCTGATTGCTGCCATCAATTTCTCTGTGGGCTGCTTTTTTGAAGTCATCCAAAGCCGGTTCGACTCGAACCGCCTTTCCTTTGAGTCGCGCCTCTTTCTGTCCCTTTACTACCTAACATTTCCCCCCTTGCTAAATCCTCTTATCTATGGTATAAGTGTCCATGCCATTAGAGTCCAAGCCATTAAATATATTTGCTGTAAAAAGTGAATGGAAACATAATCAAATAAAGTTTTGCTTTGTGTGTTGATGTTTGTAGTTACATGTAATGAAAGATTGCACATCCTAGTTTAAAATAGGCCTGGATACCTCAATACAGCCACATTACCCTCAGATATCTGGGATATTCATGACAGAATTGCGGTGGTAGGACAGCATATTTGTATAGTATTTACGTTAGTTTTACGTTTTTCACCCACAGTTTTCATAGATGTCCTGCATAACTTTCTCTGTCGATTCATCCAAATGTCTCACTAAGCTGTCCAAAATCAATAAGGTTCTTAAAACATATATGGCTTGATAATATGTATGAAATGTTCGGGTGATCTGCCAAAGCGCCTCTTGGGGATTTCCTATACGTTTTTGATTCTCGATTCAGACTGCAGATGGGTTTTGGTGCTGTAGTCCTCGTCCCGTCTATGTCGCCTTGCAACCACCACAGCAGGTGGATTCTGCCTGGCAGATGGAAGCTCATCCTGGTTCCCACATGACGTCACCCTGGGACTGACTGTTAACTGTGGGATTCGGTGTCTCCCCCTAACTGGGAGTAATTACCTTCATGCACATCTGCGTTAGGCTGCAGTTGCTTCTAAACCCTGCTGACCCAATCTGTTCTTCATAATCTGTGCTGTGATCTGGCTAAATGGAGTGATGAGGCTTTGAACGGCATAGGGGCTGTTATTTCCTGAAATAAAGTCTTTAAAACAGACTTACTTCATATCGATCATAAAAGTGCAGTGAATATGTGAAAACCAAATGTGGGTGACATCATACGTAGGTTTGGTTTATAGGATGATGTTATGATGATGTAAACAGTGACGCTGAGCTCACAGCCGCTGCTGTGCCCATGTGCCTCACATACAGGCCTCTGTAGTTACTGGCTCCCTCTTAACTCCCCCTTCTGTCCTTTAAGCTTCATACTCTCATCAACTTCAGCCATCTGTATGTGTTTACGATCATTATTTATTCCATCATTTTATAATGAAGGGATCAAAACTGGCAGGTTTATACACCTTTAAAAAGCTCATAAAGGCTGAAAATAATTAATAACAATTATTGTCTCTATTGATGGCGAAATATTCCGCTAATGGCCCTGCATGTGTTTTTAAATAAAGACGCTGAGTACGTACAGTGAGTTTATGAAGCTCGTTGGCACACGGGCCACACCAGCTTATCCAGCTCAGACTGTGGCTGAATGTTCCCCAGACATCAGCTCCATGGGGTTACAGGTAAACTTCAGTCATTATGAGGAAATAAAGGGGAACTCTATCTGCTAATGGAGAGAATTATCTCACATTAACTCTGCATCGACAAGAGGCATACCCAGGAGCTATTTTACCCTTTGGGGGGCTGAGGCCCCTAAAGAAACACAGGAAACCATCCTCCCCCCCACAACACACACACATACTACCACCCCAACCGTATCCCTGACCCTACCCACCCATCCCCACGATAAACTGCCAAAGGTTTAGCAATAAAGTTTAGCATGACCGATGGGCAGAGCTCCAACAACCCAGTATAAGTTTAATATCCTACATACAGTATAATAACTGATCCATATCATATAAGCCCAAAAAATCCTAAAGACTTCTGATCAAACTGCCATGTCAAAGCTCAACAGAGACAGATAAAATTAAACCCTCCCTTAATTTCCTTGACCTGAACATTTATTATTTAGGGAGGTGTGATTAGTGCGCTGGTAAGTATGAATGATGCAGGATTGTATCACAACGCATCCATGCAAAGCGCCTAGGGGTGACTCTGTTGTGAAAAGCGCCATTTGAAAATAAATTGGATTGAATTGAATTGAAATCATATACCAAGCACTGTCTCCTCGTGGTGCAATAGTTTGTAGGTGCAGATACATTTCACTGCATGTTGTACCTGTATGACTATGCATGTGACAATTAAAAGAATCTTGAGAAGGGAAAAATACACACAAAATGTTTGGCTTCGTATTTATTAAACCACATCTATTTCCATTACAGTATGTGATAATTACACATATGCACATATGTGTGTGTAACAGCTATTTATAATATATTTTACAGTTGTGAATCAAAGGCAATGCCTCTGTGGATGTGTCAAAATAAAAAAATCTGAGACACTTATTTGCAGATTGTAAAAATAAATACGTAACATAACTTTAAAATAAAAAAATACAGCATCATAAAAGTCCTGTCTAAATCCCATGCTCTGTTATTGAGTATGGTTGCATATCTGCTGTAGCCTGTTTGTTCTTTGCTCTGCTCATGCAGGTAATGGTGTGTTGAATGATTCAGCAACATATACAATATATATACAGTATGACATATATGATGGATAAGAGAACCGAAAGAAAGCCTTTGTCTTATCAATTACTCTCTCTCCAATGCTGGTTTATATTGTTCGGCAGCCAAAATGCTCCCAAACTGGCAATTATGACTGGCTGTAACCATCTCTCAATCATCTCACAGCCACAATTAGCTATAAGAGAGATGTTCCTACTGGCAGTTACATTCATGGGTGTCTTGTTTGGTGATTCTCCCAGCTCAGCTTCAGGTGCATGCGAGCCCACCGTGATGTAAGGATCTTCAGCAGACGCTGTTTTATTCTTGATTGCTCACAGCAGATGTATGGACACACAGTGCGGACGTATTCACAGTCATGGGGGGGGGGGGGTCATTGTCATTTAACACCCTTGATGATTATCTGCATTCATTCACCTGTTACCAACAAACCTGTAAAGTCACTAGGATACTGTGTGAAGAGCTGCATTACAATATGAATTAATAAGAGTTAAACCACAGAAAATGCCCGATAATGGTTAGTATAGCAGTTAGCACAACTAAGAGACCATAAGCTGAAACGTGTGACGAAGCCTTTGTGGAAATGTTTGGTGGTGGCTTCCTGGCTTTCAGTGGCTTTGATCCCCAGACGGTGACAAAAGTGTCACAGAGGCAGGGCAGCTGCGAGGGATGTCCCCAAGCAACTTTTAGCGAGAGGCAGCCAGTGGCTGATTAGATAATCCATCCTGCTGGGCTCCTGCCCTCTGAATGCTCAGCATCCCCCAAGAAATCAAACACACCCAATGGGACCCAAAACATTCCAGTTTCCGTCCAGTGCTTTTCTTTATTCAGCATGCAAATGTGGATTTAACTTCAACAGTATCTACCAAGACTGTAAAAAGATTCCTCCTTCTCAGTATTTTCATGATGCACCGCCTGATCTCTTTTGTTCTGATCCCGTATATTACTGGGTGCAGAACAGGGGGAATCAGGATGAAATGCAGGGACATGAATATGTTGACCTCACTTGAAATGTACATACTGGCGCGATTATAAATGACGGAGAAGAGTGTTGCTAACGAGAAATTTATAAACACGGCTAAATGAGGAGTACAAGTGCTTAACGCTTTCTGCTGGGCGTCTCTGGAGGTCTTCCAGCTGACCTTCAGTATCTGTATGTAGGAGATCACCACACAAATCAGAGGAAGCACAGCAAGACTCAGAACTATAAATATTCCAAAAATGTTGTCCAGGTTACTTTTCACACAGGACAGATTGACAATTGCGAGATTGTCACAAAACAGCTTGGTAATGGTATGTCTACATAACGGAAGCCTTGACGTCAAGTACACTTGGGCTGATAAAGAGAAGATGGGAAAGGAATATGTGACGAGCAGTAGCTGTTTTACCTTGGCAGGAGTCATTATGGCATGATAGAGCAACGGCTTGCATATGGAGACATAACGGTCGTAAGCCATTACTGCTAAAATCACGTAGGCAGATATTCCGTAGAAGTTGACGAAGAACACCTGAATCAGACACCCATAGTAGGAGCTTTCCTGGACACCTGAAAACAGATGGACCATGATCTTTGGGCAAACACTAGAACTCCCAATGACGCCGTTCACTGCCAAGTTGAAGAGAAACACGTACATGGGCTTGTGGAGACTGGATTCCAAGTAGATAACCAGGGCGAGAAACATATTCGCACATATTGAGAAAAGGTAGATCAGAAAGAGCAAAGTGGCGAGCATGTAACTCAGGGGGCCTGGAGGTCCGTACACCGTGAAGGTCAAGGTGATGTTCGAAGAGATCAGATTCATTCTGCTAGGGAGACAACACAGGTCAACATAAATATATCACATTTGTAAAAGAAAACATCTCATGTAATTATGTATGCATCTATGCTTCCTTCAGCCCCATATTCACTTACTATTCACATGATGGTTATACAGATAGGCAACTTTCAGAAGCAAAGAAAGATGCTGAAGTTGACTGCCATGTAGTCTTGGCCACACCCCAGGTCTCCTTACCTGCTCTCAGTCTACATGCTAACGTGGCCTGTGAAGCTGTTGACAGACTGCCCCAGCTTTGTCCTCCCCAACGCCAAAGGAGCGTTTATATTAACCTTTGTCAGCTGGAGAAAACTCCCTGCTGGCTTAATTACTTCTTGTTTTTTTATTACCCTTTAAGTCAGGTGACCCCTGTCATGATTTGTAAATTTTAGGCCGTATATTTTGGCTACCAGACTAGACATGATGCTCTTTAGAAAATGGCCTGTAATGCTGGCCAGCCAATGTGAGGCTGGTAGCCAGATTTCTGCTAAAAAATACATATGAGATGCCTGACTGGGTCAGAAATTAGAGATTGATGTTTGGTCCTATGAACATATGTATTCGCTCTCTTCTAAATATTCAGCCAAAAAGCTTTCTGGCCTATATGCAAAACTGATGACCCCAACAACGGGAAAGATGGACTCTTCCTTAAAACTCTTCCTCAGTCGTCTCCATATGTGTTTTTCACATACAGGAACATAATTAAGAATTGACAAACCTGACCCTGAACAAAGATCATTTATTTAAAGATAATTTTTATTAATTCTATGTGAATGTAAGCGTTTGTAAAGCCTGTTATGGGATGACATACATCATGTGAGGTGGATGGATGGATGGATGGATGGATGATGGATGGATGGATGGATGATGGATGGATGGATGATGGATGGATGGATGGATGATGGATGGATGGATGGATGATGGATGGATGGATGGATGATGGATGGGTGGACAGTCATACTGAGCTTTCCACTAAATTTGTGAATCTATGTAAATCATCATATTACTTGAATTCTGTTTTTTAACCCTAATTAAATACTTTAGTGCAACATTACATGTTGGCAGGTACTGAAGCAGCGGCCTTCAGTTTGATGCTGCAGAGGCTTAACAGAATCCTGTTTACAGTGACTGAAATGGGCCCCCAGGTGGCCTCATTAAAGTATGTTCCTGTTATTCTTGGGTTTTTTTTCAGTATCATTACAGATAAAAATATTATCAGCCCGAGTAAAAGGCCTATCAGTGGACTCTCCAGAGGCAGCTGAGGACTAACAGTAACTCCCCTCCTCGCTGGTCTCAGAGGCACCATGCCGGGGTCACGGGGTGGCCTGAGCGCTGGAGAAATGGATGGAGATCATTCAGCGCAGAGTGTAGGTCCCTGTGGGTTTCTGCTCTCTATTGCATCATAGCAGATAGCAGGGATGCCAGGAATCTGCTGGAAGACTGATGTAAAGGCTGTTTATATGTTAATAAAGTCTTATTACACTGTAAACGCTATATGCTTCTAAGAAGATTCAGCATCTTTCCCTTTCCTGAAGAGTTAAAGATTAATATTTCAAAAAGTGCATGTATGTCCCTCTAGCCTGTTGCTTACACTGGATTCTCCTATGCCAATCTGGGTCCAATAGCATTCTTGACATATCTATGGTTTGCGTTATATGCCTGTATTATAGATGTACATTTTGGTTTTCTCTGACACTTCACTGTCACACTCATGATTGTGTCATTTAGTTCATGCAGTATAAATCTGACAGGCCTTTAATTTGGCCCCATAGCTGACATCTGCTGTGGGTTCGAGGGTAATCTGTGCAAAAGTTCAGCAACAGGAGCAACCTTTCGTGAGCCTTAGCCCTAAATGGTTGACCCTACACCTTAACCCCAAAGCTTCACTCTCCTTTAAATATGTTCACGTATATGTCAATGACTGCAAGAAAAGATATGCAGAAACTATCTATCGATCCATTTTCTGTAACCGCTTGTCCTAGGCACGGTCAGGGGGTCCAGAGCCTATCCTGGAGACTGTGGGCATGAGGCAGGGAACAACCCAGGATGGGGCACCAACCCATTGCAGGGCACAATCACACACCACCCACTCACACATGCACACCTACAGGCAGTTGGGTAGAACATGCAAACTCCACACACAGAGCCCTGGCGGAGGCTCAAACCCGGGTTCCAGAAGCATCATTTCCTTTGACCTTCTGGCTGCGGCACCTGGTGGCCAGCTATTTGATGTTGTGTGTCTGTTACAGATGGGGGAGGGCCACATGAATTATACAGTACTCCAGCTATACTCCAGCAGCAGGCCAAGTGTGGAGGAAGTGCATGAGGTATTTAGTACTCACCCGGACATCGTAACCATGGAAATGGATGGCTGAGAGCATATTATTAAGATGATATAAAAATCTATATTTATAAAAATTCGTACCTATAAGTCCAACAAAAAGTGATATAACAATCAATATGATGAAAAATGTAATGTAAAAGTTTCCTGCTTCTCATTGTCAAGGTTGGGGGGGGATGGGGGGGGGACAGGATCCAGCCAATACATTAGACACTCATGACCACCATCTATACTGCAGAGAACCTGGAGCAGACCAAGGTCTTTGTTTCTCCATGATATTTCCTTGCCCTTCAAGTCCAGCCGGTATCTGTCCCAACCTTTGGGGTCATATATCAGGTGAAAAAGAGAATTAAGATTTTGTCCAAATGTAACTGGCAGTGCACCTCTCCGGCTCATTCTATTGTGAGGCAACAGTGAAGATAATCTCCCATCCAGCTGTCGACACTGTGGGGTTACATCAGGACCTCAGTCAGAATTCCTTCATCTTTTCATCTACATATCTTTTAATTTCATTTAATACTCCTTTGTACAACCTTTCATATAAAGTATGACGTGAAAGAAATGGGAGCTGTAGTTCATTGTTACAAAAGTATTCTTTTAATTAAACACTCAGTTGAGTACAGTTTGTTTCAGGTAGAGTTTCAAAATCATTTTAAAGCCATATTCATTTCAACAAAAACAATACTGCTGAAATTATTTTTAATATGTAGTTTCTAAACATACATATATTCGAACTATTTGCTTTATGGAAGTCCGTTTAAGTGCAGCAAGATGAGTTCTTTAGACGAGTCTAAAGAACGACAACGAGGATTCAATCATAAGGTTGTACCGCCACCTTGTGTCCATATGTCCACATTACACATATTAATTAGTTTATGTCTTAGTTGCAAAGATTAATAGATATTTTTATATGTATATGGTGTTCATAAACTGTGCGATTCGGTCCAATATATTTATTACATGGTGTTAAAATAACATTCATGACACGGAAAACGACCCAGGTTTGCTGTATGTGATCAGATGCTCTTGAGTAAAAGGCTTGCTTTGACCGCGTATTGTAACAATACAATATAGCGATTCTTACGGTCAAACATTCTATAACATTGCAATTAGTATGCAGATAAGCGGTAAAAATAAAAAATGGAGGTATATTTGTCAAAAGACACGTTTATCCTGAAATTCCAACATGCTTCACTTACACTTGTGAAAATGTATTATTGTTAAAAACTATTTGGCCACCAGATGTCACTGCGATCCGATTTTCGAAAGATCTAATCTTTTTCTGAATTGTTGCAAACATACTCATTGCTCATTTTGTCAGGTACACCTTGCTATTACTAGGTTAGACCTTCAGAACTACCTTGATTCTTCATGGCATTGATTTAACAATCTGGCGAAACATTTCTCAGAGACCCATGGTCCATGGTGATTTAGTCTATTGTGATCTAGTTGGTGATCTAGTTGACAGGATAGCATCAAGCAGCTGCTCCAGATTTGTTTGGCTGCACCTTCATGATGCAGATCTCCTGCTCTGCCATAGGTGCTCTATTGGATTGCGATCTGGTGATTGTGGCAGCCATTTGAGTACAGTGACCTCATTGTCATGTTCAAGAAATGTTTGATGAGTTTTGTGACACGGCACATTATTTTGCTGTAAGTAAATTAGATGCTAGATAAGCTGTGGTCATAAAGAGATGGACATGGTCAGCAACAATACTAAAGTAGGCTATGGCATTTAAATGATGCTCAGCTGGTATTACGGGCACCAAAGTGTGCCAAGAAAATGTCCCTCACATCATTCCACCATCACCACCAGCCCAAATTGTTGCTACAAGGCAGGATCGATCCACGTTTTTACACTAATATTTGACCCTATACCATCTGAATGACCCAGTAGAACCCGAGTCTCACCTGACCAGGCAACATTTTTCCAATCTTCCATTGTCTAGTTTTGCTGAGCCCTGTATCAGTGGTTATTTGGGATTCTGTTGTCTTTCTATCACCTTGAACCAGTCTATATGCATATATTAATGCCCAAACATATAAAGCAAATGGGTAACACAAAACTAGGCATTGAGTGCTGTGAGGAGACAAATGGGGAGTTTAACCAGATTCAGTCAGGCTCTACCCAATAATTCAGCAATTAAATATAATACAGAACTGCAGTACATGAGTTTGATTTTGGCCCCACACTCCCTCTGGTGGTTATAGAGTGCTAATGCAAAAAAAAAAAGGCAACATAGAAGTAAGTAAGTAAATTCGAAATGTGATCTTTAATACGTAGTACTATTGGTTTATTTTTTTAATACTATAAGGTGCGTGAATGGTATGGGAAATTCGACTTAAATGAAAATTGTCTTGCGAGTTAAGGGTTTGTGGAACGGATTACTACGTTAGTCAAAAACGACAACTATTTGCATGTTTTTTCTCTTTGTGACCTATGGATGGCAGCAAAGATCTATGTTTTTTCACACAGTTTCTCAGTCTAGTGCAGGGGTCACCAACTCCGGTCCTGGAGAGCTACTATCCAGTAGGTTTTCTATCCTACCTGGCTTCATCAGAAGCCAGGAAGGACTGGAGTTGGAGAGCCCTGGTCTAGCGGCTCAGCACGTGATTCCATAATATACAGGATGGGTGGCAACTCTAA